AGTTCCTGACTGGCCTGCTGCTCACGATCCTCACAGACATCATCCATATCAGCATCTTCTACCCCCGGCAAAAGGCACTGTCTGACACACAGCGTTTCAGTTCCGGCATGGCCATCTTCAGCCTCCTCCTGAAGCCCTTGTCCTGTTTCCTGGTCTTTCACATGTACCGGGAACGTGGGGGAGAGTATGTCTTCAACGTAGGTAGGAGGCCAGCCTTGGCCATGGCCACCTTCAGGGCATCTCCTCCTTTGGGATCCTTCCCACCTGTTCTCTCTGTCTCTTCCCCATCTCTCTTGTGCTTCCAACTGACCTCTTGCCTTGTGCCTTTGATGCACTCCTTCTCCACTGCAGACCTGGAGTCCTCATCTGATAGCCACTTTGCACATGATGGTATTGACTTCACTCCTGTCCTTCTTGTTCAACATGCCTGAGCACCTTCTTTCTTCCTCTGCTTCCCAGTGTGGCATCCTGGAAGCCTATGTGTTTTGCACCCCTATTGGCCAGCTCTGTGATCTGAGATGGGGCAGAAATGGGAGAAGGGGAAGCCTGTGCGAGGGAAGGGCTGATGCCTTGCAGGCCTGGCTGGGAAAGGGAAACCTTCCTCCATCCCAGCATCATCCCATGGCCATGGGCTTGAGGCAAGCCACTTCCCCTCTTTGCTTCCATTGCCTTGTCTGCAAAGGGGCCTAGCCCCTTGCACACTTTGTGTGGGGGTGAACTGGTGGGCTGTGGGGTCCACTGAGTGACACTGAGCCTCCTCACTGTGACAGGACGGAGCAACTGACACCTGCCCTCCCCGCTGTGCACATAGCAGGGTCCTGTGTGAACTTGCCGGCTTGTTGCACCGCTCCGGCTGGGCACCCTTGGTTGGGAGGAGGCTGCAAGGAGTGTTTTTGCTCAGTGGGAACATGTGAATTGTCATCTGTGCTGCCACCTTCTCCCCGCTTTCTGGGCCCAGCATCCTCTGAACCCTTGGAAACCCCCAGCCATCAGCATGGCACGCTCGTCTCTCCGTGGCGCAGCTGGGATCAACATCCCTGCTTCTGCTCTAAGCTGCCGAGCTCTAGGGATGAGGTGGCCCCTACTCCTACTGCTTCTGCACTGGCCCTGGAGATGCAGCACCCCATGGAAGATCAGAGCACCCAGAGGGCAAGAGCTCCTTGGCATGTAGGGAACCCAGTCACACCCCAGCCAGCCTTACTGTCATGCCACTCATCAGTGTGCAGTCAGGCCCTCCCCTGAGTCTGAGGTGAGCCCAGGGGTGGCTCGACCACATTCACTGTGTACCAAGCCATCAGCAGGGTCTACCACCCAGTCGCTGTGCTCCTGACTCTTTGGGCTGGTGGCAGAGGAGCAGGGATCACTGCTGAGGGCTTCATTTGCCACTAGGTTGTGGGTCCAGCCAGCACCGTTGGAGCCCAGGAATGACACTTGCACACAGGGATGACCTGTGCAGGGCCCAGGGCAAATCAGCCTATGTGGGGCCCTGCCCCTGGACACAAGGAAATCAGCAACAGATTCGGTGGGGGAGGAGGGGTTGCTGAGCGGCCAGACATGAAGCCGGTGGCAGCACAGAATTGCCAAGGTCACTCCGCCCAGCTCTGCGGGCCCCCCCAAAGTGCAGGGCCCAAGGCAGTCGCCCTGATTTGCACCCCCTGGGAGGCCTTGCCTGCACAGGGCCATCCCTGGGGTGCCAGGTGGCCCTCATTATAACCATAGCACTGCTTCCTTATGCTGAGCTGAGTTGACAGGGGGTTCACCCACTCCGGGGCTAATGCTGGCACCAGACCCTCTTCTTTCAGTCCGGCACCCTCATCCCAGTGCAGCTGCCCCATCTTCTTCCTTCCCACTCTGCCTGATCTTCTCTGTCTGTTTCTGCACAGTCCCCTTCTGTTGTCCGGCAGCCTCTGTGCCCGCTCGCATTGGGGGCTGTCACGTGTCAGCAACAAGCACTGGCTCAATCACTTTCACGGTCACAAAAGGTGATCGGCTGCTCTCCCTGGCACAGCCACTGGGCTGCAACCAGGCACTGTAACCAGTATACAGCACAGGGCAGCAGGGTTTGTAACCTGAGGCCACTATTTGTGGTGCCCTGGCAAGGCCTGGCTTGCTGCGCAGACAGCTTCCAAGAGATACGAAGTAGGGGGCATGGAGGAAAGGGATAGTCACTGACTGCAAGGCACATTCATTCTCCTTTGGATCCCGCAGGGACCTGCCTGACTGTGTGGCAACCAGCTAAATTTTGGCAGCATTTGCCTTGTGCTGGGAGGAGTTGTTGACAGCTGTTCCACCCAACCTCCAGGCTTTGCAGGTTGAGGGAGCTTATTCTGAGGGAGGCAGACACTGAGATCAGCCCCTCTATCTATTGGCATCATTGTGCCTTGGAAGTGGACAGAGTGACCCTTCCCATGGGTTGGTCCATGGCTGTTTGGACCCTCCAGGGGCTGCAGATCGTCTAGGTTGTTTCAGTGTTAGGTGTGGCAGCAGTTTCTCTGCCGAAGCATTAGGTCCTTCCTGTGCCAAGCCAGTCAGGCTGGAGGGGTTGTACCACCCTGTGATGGATAGGTTGTTGATACCGTTGTACCTGTAGGGGAAGTGCTGAGCAGCGGTGCTAGCTAGGCAGGACTAGCAGTGTGGGTGGGCTGGCTGGGGCCATGTCTATTCCATCCTTGCTTCTTGCTAAGCAAAAAGGTGAATGGAGGATCCCCATGTGATCTCTGTGCTAATTAGTCAATTCATGCTCTGGCCTGGAGGTCATGATTTAAAATTTCAGTCAGTTTGATCACCGAATGCCTGAAGGCTGGGTAGAGTGGCAGGATGACCACCCAGCACTGGGCAGGACAGCAGTAGGCATGACCTGAAAGCTTCCTCTTCGTCTCCTCTTGCAGGTAACATCAGCGTAGGCCGGGACCGCAGCGCCTACCAGTCCATCGATCAGCAAGATGCACCTCACCCCTTCTCTGAGCCAGACAGCAAGCCAGCCCCGCGTCCCTACTGAGGCACCCTCCCTTGCCAAGAGCAGAGCACAGGATGGTGCTGACACTGCCCACCCCATCCTTCCCTGCTCGTTTCTGTTGGAGGAAGCTCCAAGACCAAACCAGGAGGAAAGGAACTGGTGGTACTCCCCTCCCTGCTGAGCTTCTTCCCTGAAGCTGCTTAGATGGATCAGGTCCTGGTGGGACCTCAGAAAGGTCATTTTGTTTTAAAGATCTAGGGCTCTGTCTAGCCCCCTTCCCCCTGTCCCAGTTTACAAGAGTTTAACTGCTGTCTGTATAAGCACCTTAATTTCTCCTTCCCCAAGTCCTCAACACGGCTGCCTCTGCAATCCAGGTATACTGCGTTCCCCAAAATATTCACAGAGAAACTGGCCATTTTCCAGATGGTCCATCTGATTGTGCAGCTGCCTACTGACTTGGGGAGTGACCCTGGGTTCTATGGATTGATCTCCTGGGCGAGTGGTTTGATTGATCTCTGGGAGTTCCCGGAGGCTGTTTCACGTTCAAAGATGTGGCGGATGCTTTTGTCAGTAACAGCCTGCGCTGGGTGAGCGTCTGCACGCAGCCTGGTTAAGGGTGGGGGGGAGCGGCTGAGCCCGCGAGCTGTTTGTACTCCTGCTGTTGACGCTTGGGTTTTATTCACTGGTGTTTGTGTGTAGGTTCGTAGTGCACAGGGTTCTTGTAGGGTGACTCGCTCCTGCTGTGAGTACACTGTGCCTTCAAACACTCTGTGGCCTTCTGTTGAGCTTTTTAAGAGAACTTGACTTGTTTTTTCTAAAAGACATAAAATAAAAATGTAGCACAGTACCTCTGAGCGAGTTCTGGGTTTCAAATGATACCTGTCACCCCGCTGCCTCCCATCGCGCTATCTGGAGAATCCAGGGGCTTGCACGTGAGGCTTGCGGCTTCATTTCTTGACTCCCTGGGATGAAGTGGTAAAAATATTGAACAAACAGAGCCACCGCTCTGCAGAGTTTCTGGACTGAGGGGCTTGGGTAAAGCCCATCGGGTGGCTGTTTATTGGCTGTATTGGTCTTCGGGCCTGGCTGCAAATATTGAAGTCGGTACAATACAATGTACTGGTACGTGTGTTTTTCAACCTTTTGCAGCTGATGTTGAATGGGGAGGGGGGTCTTCAGAAGGTTCATTGTGAAGGAGAGCGTGAACATGTTGTGGGGTGGGGAGAGAAACCCCCACAGGCTATTAAAGTTGGAAAGCCTGGTATTTTCCAAGGCAACATCTTTTGAATTATGGATCTACCCTTGGACAATTGGATTTCCCTGACTGCCTGCTGCTGCACAGAGTCTCTAGTGAGTATGGATCTGCCATTTGATTTTCATCAGTCTCTGGACTCCAGCTCTTTGTATTAAGTCCCATGTTCGTGACTGTCGGACACTGCTAGTCAAGGAGCGAGGCAGCTTCCTACCTTTGTCACAAATATGGGTTTAATGCCAGAAAATGAGAATTCTTGTGCTCCTCTAGGAACAGCAGTTAGCACCCACTGTGTGCGTGTGTGTGTGTGTGTGCGGGGGGGAGGTAACTGTCTGGTCAGGCAACAGGGAATTAGGCCCCATGAACAGAGGAGTCACATTGAGGATTGAGTCCTAAACCTGACTTCTCTCCATCTCTGATTTGGGTTTAGGCGAGTGGTTTAGGCAAAGAGTTTTACACTGTTTAGGAAATCTGGGCCACTGATAAATGTGTAAAAACAAAGCAAAACAGGGCTTTATTGGAAGAGGCAGAGCGCTAGTTTGACCCAGCTCCCCAGCATCTATAGATTGGGCGCTTCAGCAGGGCTTTTTGGTGCTTGCCCAGAAGAGGCATCACATTAGTTTGACCCGGCTCACCCACCGTCTGTATAGATTGGATGATTCAGCGGAGTTTTTTCGCTCTTCTATCTAATAGCTGATTGAATCAAACTAACACAGTGCCTCTTTGGGGTATGCGTTGCACTGTGTGCAGGGGCCTGCCAAGCTGAAAGTAAAGAGTCGTTTGTTTTTTTCCCCCACATCTGTAGCCAGCCCAGTAGCTAGAAATGGCCAGAAATTCAACCATGGAAACCCCCCTTCTCCCCTCTCCTTGTTTTGGAAAATGCTGATTTGTCAAAATGAATTGTTACCTGGAAATATGTCGTTTATTCTGTTATTTTGAAGACAATGGAAGGGAGTGTTCTGATTATGTGTTTTGACTTTATTTCAATCTTTGTGGAACAAGATGTTTTGAGCTCTCCTCCCCCCCCATTTTGAAAGTGTTTCGATTTTTAAAATTTCTATTTAACTCGCATGGAAACGACAATAGACTTCCAGTTTTTATCACACCAAAGCACTTCCAGCTAAATGTTGTTGTTGTTGTTTTAGATTGTGTTTCATTGGACATTTTGGAAGTTTTGTTCTGTTTTGGAATACAGAAACAGAAAACATTTTGTTTTGCAAATTTTGAAACTCTGGAACGTCCTACAAAATTTTTTAAAAATCCAGGTCCCCTGGACACTTGTTAATTCCTAGTGGAGATTGTTACCAAATCCCGCAGGCGGCTTTGGAAATCTCAGAATCTTTCAAGGATTTGTTTAGTTTTCCTAGTTGCAAGTTAGGGTTGGATTGAATGTACTTCTGTTTATGAACTATTTTGTGAAGCAAGACAACAAGCCTGCAAGCTTTTTGGCGACCTGCAGGATAACTTGATTTGGCCTCTGCTTCCTGCAGAGAAGTCTCTGACCTAAATGCTTTATTGCATTTAAAGAGAGTAGAGAGGAGACAGGCTCAAAGGGACAATTTAGAAAGCTGGAGAGACTAAATAAGTTTAAATGGGGGCAGGGGGGCAGGGGTGGGGTGCAGGGCCAGATTGGGCCCACAGGCTGACCCCCTGTGCCAGATCCAGCCTGCAGAAAGTTTTCAGCATGTGCTCTGGCTCCAGCCCTGCGTGCCGTTTGCTGCACACACTGGCCTCTGACAAGCACATAGCACCAGTCCAGGGCATGTGCTACACACAGTGCGTGGGGCCAGTCTGGGGCATGCTCTGCATGTGGCAGCTGCAGCAGGCCATGAGCCTGCACACTGAATTAGTCACATGGGGCCAGTCCATGGGCTCGGTTGTGGATGCCACATGCAGTGGGTGGCTGAGCCCAGCCCTGCACGCTGCATGAAGCATGTGCCAGCTCCAGCTCAGGTGGCATGTGGTGCCTGCACCAAACTGGCCCTGCATATAGTACTAGATCCGATCCAGCACAGTCTGTGGGCCTGATCCAGACTGGCCCCAGATTTAGTGTGCAGCGCCAGTCCGTCATGGGTACTATGTGCAGCGTACAGCCCAGACTGCCCCGCTGCCACGCGCAGTCCATGCCAGATGAGCTCTGCACACCACGTGCAGCACACGGGGCCTCGGCCAGCACGTGGTAGGCAGCACTGCGGGCAGGATGCGGCCCACGGGCCATACCTTTGACAACCATTAATTGGTTATTCCAATTATTTATTATTATTCCAATTGGTTATTCCAATTATAACCAAATTGGTTATTCTTCTGCTCTTTGCCTTTGAATCCGAGACCCTTCAAAGGGTGCTCTGCCGCATCTGGAAGCCGCTGTTACACCCACCACGCGACTGAGCCTGTTGGCACCCCCTGCCACGGCGGTCCCTGGCTTTTCAGTGATTGAAGCGCAGCCCTGCCCTCGGAGGCTGCTTCTCGCCCCTCGCTGGAGGTGCAGCCTGGGGCACTTCCTGGCAGGTGAGTAGGTGTCTAGCCCGGCAGGATTTTCTCCTGCGTGGGGCAATGCAAGCAGCAAACCCTTCCTCTTGTTGCTTGTGGCTGCTCCCGGGGCGGGCTGTCCTCTCGTGCGGCGTTGGCACGATGGCTGGCTGGGCCAGGCACGACCTCTCCCCTGCCCGGAGC